CTCACCCACCCACGGTATTTATTGGTACCCCCACCTATTTATTGAAAACCTCTCAAAACCAGTGCCACCCTACGCACATGCTTTTGCATAGGCATTAGGAATTGGATGAGCCCATTGGGCAATATTAGTATTGGGATAAAACCTAATATAATCCTATTTGACACTGAGCTATTCCCCCCCCTCCAAGGCCTTGGCTTGAATCCCTGTGCATCAAACCAGTCAAAAACCTTCAATACTTAATGTTGAATATTGGTTTTGCAAGTTCGAAGCAAGTGAAATCACTGGTCAAATCGTAAAGAAATTTAGCCAATCAGACACTGATCACACAAGACAACACAAATTTGAAGCTACGATTTTTATTAAAATTTTCCTGCAAGCAAAACACCTATCCATACAAAATGCAAGTCAACGTATATAGTGGCACCGCAAAGCACTGTAGTAGGAGTGGACCTTCAACCCGAAAGGAAGTTGAATGCTGAACAGATTGCAGCGCAACCGTACGATTTTAGAGGAATTGTAGGCTCGTTACAGTATCTAGTTCGTGGTACGCGACCTGATATTGCAAATGCTGTACGAGAACTTAGCAGATTTCTATCGTGCTACAATAAGTCTCATTGGGAAGCAGCCCTTAGAGTACTTCGATACTTGAAAGGAACGTTAACGTACGGACTTCTACTCGACGGTAGTCAACATGGACTAGAGTATGAGGTCTATTCTGACGCGAGCTTCGCGAATCGAGAAAAAGATCGAACGAGTATCACTGGATATTTGGTATTATTAGCTGGAACATGCATTTCGTGGTGCAGTTGCAAGCAGAATTGTGTTGCGCTGATTACTGCATAATCAGATTTAATTGTTCTTAATGAGGGATCCAAGGAAAGTGAATGGCTTTGGCATCTTTTAGCCGAGATGGGGTTTAACTTAAAGGCACCAGTACAGGTCTGGTGCGACAGTAGAAAATCAGCTATTAGTGTTGTCCAGAATCCTGGCAATCACAAAGCTACAAAGCACATTGAAACGAGGTATTTTTACACAAGGGATTTAGTGGACAAAAAGCGTATCAAAATTAAGTACCGCAAATACAAAAGAAATGCTAGCAGACCTACTGACAAAGGCATTACCGGTGGGGCAATTTGAGTTACTAACGGAAAGAATGGGCATACCGGTACACGACTTGAGTTTATGGTACTCGCAGAACACTGAGTGGGAGTGTTAGACATGAGATATCAGGATACAAAACTTGTTCCCCTGGCAAGTGTCAGAATTTATCACGCATGCGAAATGTCTCCATATGTAGCTCAAAGTCAAGTGGCTCTGCCACTTGCACAATCAAACCATAGATGGAATGTATGGTTATAGGAACATTGAGGCAGTGTCATGCGATATGAAGACCAAGACTTACGCCAGGTCTTCATAGCTTATGTTTTGTGTGGTTATGTGTGTTGTTGGGCAAGGATGTGAGGGGTTTGGAATGATGTAGCCTTGGGTTTCATTCCGGGTTTTACCTCGAACTGAGCTCTACCTTTGCGTGCGTGTTCTACCCATGTCCCCACCCCCGGCTGATCCAACAACTACTAGTTATACAGATAACGACGGAAATAATTGCGAAGTGGTACTCTTCAAATATCTAGCAATTTGTATGATCAATATTATTTTGCAAATCGAGTACTACTCTGTATTTTGATTGTAACCTGCATCGAAGTGTCACAGAAATGACGTCGGATTGGCCAATTTTCAACCAATTGGAAACATCAAAACTGAAACAACGACGACAACGGCAACAGAGTCAAAAAAATATCAAATCACTTTCGTCGGCCGAAATACAGTAAAACACACACCCATTGAAATTATTCGCACTAAAGTACAGGTACTAGTACATACTAGTACTGCACATGGAATTAACATGCATTTCACAAGCCGTGATGATAACGTTATCGTTGACATCTTAAGAATCTAGGCTCTCATGTTGCACGCATGTTGATCTTCTCCTGGTAGAACTGACGGCTTTTGTTATATCCTTGTATTCGCTGTGCACCGTGTACTACGTACTCGATATAGTAGTACAGTACAGTACCGGTTCCTGCATCCGATGTTCTAGAAAGGTATTACTGTCCTTCTCAATAACAACCCAGTACTGTCCGTTTGGGCAAGATGAATGAATTCAACTTTTCTACTCCACCGATTTTGATGATTTCTTTTGCAATCGTTTCATCTTGAATTATATGCGTTGCAGCCTGGGTGTCAGAGCTCCAGCTCATGCGCAGCGTGTGGAGTTTGCTTGCGCTGGCACGCAGATTTCGGCACGGATCTGAACAATTTTAATCGTGACTGACACAGTTGCACGACACTACCCGAACATATTATTTTGAATCTGAGTCAGTATTACTATTCATTGTGTCAGAATTTTATTAAATTACAGTTTGGTTGTATACAAACCGGAAATAAATACAATTTCAATTTAATAAACTTGACTTCGCGCCGAAAATTCAATTCAAGTTTATTTCAAACAGGAGCAATTTCAAGCAAAATGAACCCCCTCACACACTGTAGGTTTAACTCCTCTATTTGAATATATCTTTGAATTACTCAAATTCATATTGGTCTAAAAGTTATGGAAGTTTCGAGCAATTCATTCCTTTTGCCCAAACGGACAGTATGATGCACGTCCTCTATAAACTACCAACTTTTCACAAACTTTTCTGACTTCTATTTCGTATTCATGACTCAATATTTCAGCAAATTGAGGCGTAGAATTGTTAGATCTCAATGTGGTGAAGAAATTCTACGTCTCTTGATTCAAATTTGGTGATGAATTGGTCCAGAAATAGATATTTAACCTAGTGGTATTTTACATGGGCGCATGTATATTTGGCCATAGGGGTGGCAGCTGAGATGTATCCTGATTTTTGTATGTGGCTCTTATCCGTATGTAATATCCGGAGGCTGATGGGACCTTTAGCCGTGATAAAACGCATGAAATCGGTATTTAACGTATTTGGTTTTGGGTTTAACTACATCAATTGTACGTTAAATAATAAAACCTCCTCTCTTTGATTTGGCCAGTTGGAAGTTTTTAGATGACGTGCATCATATTAATACTTGAATTGATTTGCATGCTACATATTTCGACTAAAGGAGGTTAAAATATGTTCGGCATGACTTCTCTTACAAACTACAAGATCAAATAACCATTGTTTTGGGTGCCAGTTATTTTAACTTCAAGTACCCATGGGTAGATATTTAAAATTGGATAGGTATTGCATGCCTATCTGATATGGTACACTTATCGCCGCGATCTGACACCTTGTTTAGCCAATTAGAAGCCTCAATGATCTGAAGAGCTTTGCAATAATTTTGGTACCGGCACTGTATGCATAACATCTTCAATATAATTTTGTAAGTACGGTATGCACTTATTGACCCTTTGCCGACTTCTCGCGCAGATTCTATTGATGCGATTGTCTCGATTGTTTCAGTAAGCTTACGTATAACAGTCAATCGTTGAGAATTTGGTAACTGGGGACGAGTACTAGTATACATCACTTAAAATTAATTGTTTCTGTTCGATATTATGAATATGCGGCTGGTCGTGATACAGAGTACTTGCCATTTTCTATTATTTGTTGATACAAAGTTGACATTACATCATGCGTGCTGTCGTGGTCAAAACAGTCACCCATTGGCTAGAATGTGTGAAATTATCTACATTTCAAGTGATGGCGTTTGAATATTAATATTCCGAGATTCTGTGTAGTACCGCGCTGGCAACTACAGTACAGTATTTCCGTCGTTATCTGTAGCCCTCTCTCACTCTGTACAACGCTAGAAGGGAGATTTCAGAAACGAGTACTTACCCTTACGGTTAAAATAACCTCTGAAGCTTTATAGAATTGATTAAAACTCCGGAACTTACATACTTGATCCTCCACGCGTCCACCCTCCTCGTTCCATTCGAAGAGCCAACAAAAAGGCGTTGAACCAAGTCAACAGTATCGGGCCAATCACGGTCGATGATTCGAATCCCTGAAACGGACCCATTTGAGGGATTCTGTTACTAAGATGCACTTAACCTAGTAAGAGGTGAGGTTGGTCTGAGTGTACAATGTTCCTTATAAATCTCATTGAAATAGTATTTCGGGTCAAAACAACAGTGGAACTGTTTTAATGAGGGAATTGTACATATCCCTGAGACGGCGGTCAACTGGCCGACTTGACGCGACCCCCCGGTGTGCAACCAAGGGTCATGCGAGCCGTGGTGTATTGGTACGTATTAGCTTTGTATCCGTGTTAGAATTGCATCATTTCTACTCTTCCTTCATATCAACAGCAACACAGAATGGACGTCCTTGCTCGGTTCCACTGCGACCTCTTGCAACTCCTGGCTTTCGCGACAGAACATTTCACGTGAATATCAAAGACGTTAACGGGTACGTCAAAGCGAAATCTCCCAAGAACCTGGAAGACGGGATGTAATTGACTGTTCTGGTTGGCTATGGACATGATTATAGGCAGCGCTTGATCATACCTATAGTAAGTACTTCAGGTGAGCTCAACTTTTCCGATGTCGGAACAGCTCACCCAGTTTACCAATACGCTGTACAGTATGTACTACCCCGAAGTGCAGCGGAATTGGTGGAGTCGCAGCAATCAATTCATTTTCAATTTCGCATCTGCCATGGCAAGCCACGACAACAAGGCAGCGGACTTGGAGGAACGCGTGTCGTACGTCCACTCGGTCTCGACCAAAGACGTTGACGGGTACGCCGAAGCGAAATCTCCCAAGGACCTGGAAGAGGGGGCGTTGACCGAAGGGGGGGCGCTGGACTTGTTTTCCCACGAAGCGTTTGCCCTGTTCATGCAGTACGGCGCCATCGGAGTCATCAACAGCATGATCCCGGCGCTCCGTTATCCCATCTTCAACATCTACCTCAACTTGGAGGGGTACCAAACGTCGTCGTACAGGGCGTTGATGTTTGTCGGGTGGTCGTTCAAGGTCTTCTTTGGCATGTTGTCGGATTGCATCCCCATCTATGGCTACCGTCGCAAGTCGTGGATTTTGATCGGGTGGACCATCGCGATGATCTGTCTGATTGTGTTGACGTTTTCGCCGTTCGGCGAGCCGTTTTGCAACCGCGAAAAGACCAAGTATTGCGCTACGCCGTTGGAAAAGGTGCCCAAGTCCGAGCTTCAGTACTTCAACTTATCCGCCCCCGACAACGGCACGCTGTACATTCTTCTGTCTATGTTTACGGCGTTTGGGTATCTCTTGTCTGCGAGTGCGTCGGACGCGATGGTGGTCGAGTATGCCCAGCGAGAACCCGTGGCCATCCGCGGCCGCACCCAGACCGCCATCTACACCGTGCGCACGCTCACAGGAATCCTCGCGTACTTGGTGACTGCGTTCGGGCTGAACGGCCCCAACTACGCCGGATCGTTTTCGTTTACGTTGTCGCCGAATGCTCCGTATGGCATTTCCTTGGTGCCGTGTGTATTGGTGGTGCTCTCGACGGTTTTCCTCCTCGTGGAGAAGAAGACTGAGCCTTCTTCCTTCGCCCAATGGTGGGGAACGTTTTGGGAATCTCTCCAGAGTCGCGTGATGTGGCAAATCTGTTTGTTCCGATTCGTGAGCAACGTGTTCAGCGGCATCAGCACCACTGCGGGGTACCCCGTCGCGACGTACTGGGCGGGGGTCGAACCTCTCAACGATTCGCTCTCGAGCGTCATTGGCAGGTTCCTGTCTTCTAGCATCTTGGTGGTTGTGGGCAAATGGGGACTTAACTGGAACTGGCGGTGGAGCATCGGCGCCGGCACCATCGGGATCATCGTCATCGACGGCTTTGTCACATTCATCACCATCTGGGATGTCGTGCGCAACCAGTGGTTCTTCACGGGCGTGGCTTTGGCTGAGGAGATCCCCGGCAGCATCCGATTCATCGTGTCCACGTACGTCGCCGTGGAAATCGCCGACAAGGGCAACGAAGGCGCCACTTACGGCCTCTTGTCCACTGTGAGCAACCTCGCTCAGCCGTTTGCCAGCATGATTTACAAGTACATCAACTCGTACTTCAAAGTACGTCAGAACGACGTCAAGTCCGACACGCTCGAGGTGCGGTGGGACGTTACGTACGTGTACTTAATTTCGTACGGGTGCAACGTGGCGTCGTTGTTTTGGTTGGTTTTGCTGCCTCCTCAAAAGGCAGAAGTCCAGGCGTTGAAGGCGCGCGGTGGCAAGAGTAAAGTGGCTGGATTGATCCTCGTGGTCACGTTTGTCACGTGCCTGACGTTCGCCGTGTCCAGCAACATTATGTCCATCTTCCCCTCCACCAAGTGCTACCGCGTCGCAGGGGGCAACGGAGTGTTGGACCCCAAGACGGGGAAGTGTCCCCTCAAGTAGAAAAAAAGGTGTCTTGCATGTTGAAGTAACGTATACTATTCATAGTAATGAACATAGCATATCTCGTGTTATCCTGGCGGTTCCAATAACGTTATTCATGTTGTGGTGGGTGACTTCATCCAAGTTCTGCCATGTCACAGGTGGTCATCAACCGAGGCCACCGGCTGCTCTCCATGTGAACCAAAGGGTCGACGTGCAAACAAGGATCAAGGAATCAAAAAACCGGATAGAGATACATGTGTATCATCAGAACACAATGGAATTGACCTAGCCTAATAGTAGCGAGCGAGCGACGACAGAGCATCCGCCCACAAAATTGCAGCGTAGCGGAGGTGTATAATTATGTGCAGGCGGTGCCGTGGCGAGGAGTGAGCCCCAATCCCTTCACCGCACTATTTACGTCGACGGTGTAGCTTTCCTACCATCATCAGTCTTCTGCATGTATTAATACAGTATTACTAACGTTTTAATCGATCACTGGAGGCCTGAAATCAACCCCTTAGCTTCTTTACGCTATCTCTACAAATATGACGACTTAGACGAACCTTCAAGTATGGTGTTATAGAAGATTAAACGCGCTACATCATACATGCAAGCTTTGAATGATTTGATGTGTGCATCACCACGTTATAGCTGGTCAAAGTCAAAACTGTGAATTTTGAAAAGATCAGTAGATGGCCCAAGTTTAGCCTTGAATACACCATTCATCGAAACAGTGGGACTTGAAATTATATTGTCAATATGAAGCGTATTTTACTACGAGTAGAGTTTATATGTACCAATAATATGTGGTAATTAAGTATTTTTCGTCATGCGAAGTGATTCGAGCCATTCTCTAATATCGGGCAATCTACTGTTTTTTACGTTAATGGTAGTACTACGGTGCTACACTTCCATAGATGCAGACGCCAAATAATTACCTCATTAAAACAGTTCCCTGTTGTTTTACAGTTAGGGTATTTCCCAGGATCGTCCGTCCAACCAAGGCCAAAATTTATCATGATCGTCCTAGTTGTACTTTGTGGAAATAATTATATTCCAAATCGTCCAAGTAGTTTTCATTGGCTAAAAATACTTGAGCTACTTGGTTAAAAAACCTATGATGTCTTTTCCATTGCCATTCCACAATTTCGACAGCCGATGCCAGACCGTGCCGCCGCCAGAACGCAGGCATGGACCAAGCACAAGCTGGAACATCGGTGAGCGCGATCATCCTTCCATAACGTTAACCTAACGGTGTGCTCGAGTTCTGTCTTCGCTGTGCAGTCAGCGCACCGCCGACCCGCCACGAATCATATCACCATGGTAAGAATTGGAATGTGTTTGCTCGTGTTGTGTTGGTATGTATGTGATGTATGGTGTCGTAACCACTTTCTAGCTGGCGAATCTGGTGGATTGTGTAAGACTGTGCTGTGCAACATGAAGGCCAGAGCGACGACACTCAAGAAGTCGATGTTGTGACACAATGGAAGTGCGCCTGCTTGCAGGAGGTCTGGGTTCAATTCCCAGCAACGTCAATCCCACCATGCACGCGAAAACACGACGCAAGGTAGGTGCACAGAGCAAGCGGTACCGTACCGGTATCTGTTGATCCTTCGCGAATGCCATTTATGCCTGAATGTGTTGAATCCAGTTCGATGCGCGTTAAATGTATTGTTGTTGTGCTGCTTGATTATTGGATTTCTTCGCCTTCATTACAGTTCTACTATTGTATCCAACTTGTCTACTTGTTCATCTGCGTTGTCTGCGTGCATAATATCTACAACATTGACCGGGTTGAACACTACTCCTCGTTGGAAGCCAGTGTACGATGAGCCCGAGGGGATGGCCGGTACTGTGTGCTCCTCGCTTGTAATGTGTTTGGTGCATGTTGCGCTGTTGTGGTCTGTTGCGTTACACTTGCGGCACTTATACGTTTTGCTAGATGGTGTCTCCCCTCGACTTGCAATGCGGCGTTTCATTGGTCGGCCAACTTGTCGATAGAGTGGAGGTGCCTTGACTTTTGCGTCGGATACAATATCCTCGTGAACAGGCAGATGTACGGACTTGCCCAGGTATGCAGCACAGTACTCTGCCACATTGTATGCACGGTCGTACGCCTCAAGGAGTTGAGCCATGTTGTCAGTCTCCATCAACACCCAAATTAAGTGGCGGCAGGGCAGCCCGGTTTAGTCTCGTTCTACAAAAGTGCACGACAGTTCACTCAGAAGCACTTTGCGTTTTTTAGACTCCGTGATGGATGGTATACGTAAAACACGTCGTCACTTGATTGGATAACCTTGTACGATGGTTTCAACGACTTCTCGATTTCAACTTTGCCAGACGCATAGGGTGTGGCAACGCGTCCCTCCGCCGCCCACTTTTGCGCCAGTTTACTTCTGTTGGCAACGTCCCTTGCACACTCGTCCATTGAGATTAGCACCGCCTGGGCTGGTAAGGACTGCCTGCATTTGTTCTGAAGCGTTTTGTTGTTGACCCCAGCTTGGATGCAGTTTAGGAAAAACCAGAGATAGTTATCAATGTTTCCTTGGCCACAACACCGAGGGCGATGGGGATGTTTTTCCCGTTGCCGTCGCGGCGCACCAGATTGATTAACACCCTGTTGTAATCCTTGTGTTTGAAGTGTGCGCCATCGGACCCAACGAGCTTCAAGTTGGAGTGGTGGGCATCAGCGTACACTTTTCCGCACACAAAGGCCCGATAAAACCGACCATGGGTGTCCAGCTCGAAATCCACACGCGACCCAGGATTGGCTTGTTCAAACGCCAACAATATGGAAGGTAAAGTTGGATTTGAACTTGCGACATCGGCCACATCGGTCTGGACGACTGCATCTTTCACAAGGTAGACAGCCGACCTTTTTAACTCCAAATTCACACCATCCAGATCTTGGACGGTAGCAACAAGATCGCGTCTGGAAATTCAATTGTTGGTCCGTACCAACCTAACAAGTACGGGCAACATGGCTAGTTGACGCTCGGATGGTTTTCCCATGGAGGTGCACGAGTGTGTGTGGACTGACTGTAGCTCGGTTACGGAGTAATAGGTCCCAACGTGGTTAGGGGGCTGTTTGCGGCGTGCCACAACTCGCCAATCTTATGGACTTGTACTTAACAGACGTACACGGTCATGTTGCCACTCCCGGTCCCAACACGGATAGAGTGTGATTCGTTGAGACATACATCTGGGACAAAGTTTGTCATAGCTCGCCTAGTCAGTATCTGAACATCAATGGCAAGTTCGTCGATGCCGTAGGCGCATGAGCAATTGAAGAGCAATTCAAAAATACATGAACGTATGGCCCTGAGTTCCGTGACACTTGGTTCCGTGTCACTAATCTTATTGGCTTATATTTAGCCAATCAACATCATACAATACCTCTGGCATATAATAAAACTCTATGAATGCTACGGGCGAATGTTGTGCAATTTGCCTGCGAAATCATTCTAGTGCAAATGACACCTCATTTGCCAAACATCGCTGTCGCGTCTACCCATCATCCCCTTGCCGCTCACCCGGCACCGTAGCCACGGACGGAGATGAACTCCATGACCGCAGTCGAATCAACGAAGCCATACGCGCTGTCAACTCCAACCAGATGTTCCACCAGAGCAGCTGCCGTGCTCTTTGGCTTTGATCGTATGATGCTGTAGCGGCGTGTCAACGCCACGGTTCAGCCTCACGCGGGCAATGGACCTGACCCCGTTCTGACAGATGGTGAGGTCCGTGGAATCATTGTGGCCGAGCGCAACCTGCACGACCAATGCTTCACTCGTCAACTTTATTCGTGTGTGCATTGATAACAAACAGCCAGCATGAGAACCATATACTGGCAGTTTGGGAGGGCGTCCTGACTTGGAAATCCCGGACTTCCAGGTGAAGTGCTTCGAAAACTCGTGGATCAGGTTGTGAAAGGTGTCGGGTGGCAAGGAAAGGTGGTGTCTTTCCTTTAAGGACATTCGTGCTCTGAACAAGCGGAGGTTGCTAAGAGCCTTGTCGTTGGCATATTCGTCGTCGTCCAGCAAGTGCAATCACAGCCATCGCCTCATTGCTGCCAAGTTACTCTATCCGTACTACAACAGTATTTAAGAGACACTTGGCACTTCGAATTTGGAATGAAATCGTAATATGATTGGCTTAAGAACTTCGAAATTCGAGAATAATTGTAGCCAACCACACAGCAGCAGCAATTTCACAGTTTTGAACAAACACGTATTTTATAATAATTGGTTGGATGGTTCAAGATATGTTTTGTCTACTGGCGCTTTAGCGCAGTGGTTAGAGTGTCAGATTTCAAAGCTTGAGACTCGGGTTCAAAACCCCTCCTGGTTGTACCTTTTGTACCTTTTTACATTTTAACACACATCTACATACAAAATCATATACAATCCGAAAATCTCTATACTTCGTAGTGGAATTCTTTGATGGAGCAGTGTACTATGGTCAGACGCTGACCTGACCTTGAAAGACGCTGTTGGAGAAGTGACTGTGAGCGTGAGTACAATTCGTTTGTGTAACAAAGCCTGACCAAGGTAGGTATATAGTAATTCCGCTTCAATTACTCCCTCGTCGTCCACAAGCAACATATCATGCGTGATGGACATCGCTCTGTGAACATACACGCCGAAGTCGTCACGCAATCTTGTTGCTACCGTCCAAGATCTGGATGGTGTGAATTTGGAGTTAAAAAGGTCGGCTGTCTACCTTGTGAAAGATGCAGTCGTCCAGACCGATGTGGCCGATGTCGCAAGTTCAAATCCAACTTTACCTTCCATATTGTTGGCGTTTGAACAAGCCAATCCTGGGTCGCGTGTGGATTTCGAGCTGGACACCCATGGTCGGTTTTATCGGGCCTTTGTGTGCGGAAAAGTGTACGCTGATGCCCACCACTCCAACTTGAAGCTCGTTGGGTCCGATGGCGCACACTTCAAACACAAGGATTACAACAGGGTGTTAATCAATCTGGTGCGCCGCGACGGCAACGGGAAAAACATCCCCATCGCCCTCGGTGTTGTGGCCAAGGAAACATTGATAACTATCTCTGGTTTTTCCTAAACTGCATCCAAGCTGGGGTCAACAACAAAACGCTTCAGAACAAATGCAGGCAGTCCTTACCAGCCCAGGCGGTGCTAATCTCAATGGACGAGTGTGCAAGGGACGTTGCCAACAGAAGTAAACTGGCGCAAAAGTGGGCGGCGGAGGGACGCGTTGCCACACCCTATGCGTCTGGCAAAGTTGAAATCGAGAAGTCGTTGAAACCATCGTACAAGGTTATCCAATCAAGTGACGACGTGTTTTACGTATACCATCCATCACGGAGTCTAAAAAACGCAAAGTGCTTCTGAGTGAACTGTCGTGCACTTTTGTAGAACGAGACTAAACCGGGCTGCCCTGCCGCCACTTAATTTGGGTGTTGATGGAGACTGACAACATGGCTCAACTCCTTGAGGCGTACGACCGTGCATACAATGTGGCAGAGTACTGTGCTGCATACCTGGGCAAGTCCGTACATCTGCCTGTTCACGAGGATATTGTATCCGACGCAAAAGTCAAGGCACCTCCACTCTATCGACAAGTTGGCCGACCAATGAAACGCCGCATTGCAAGTCGAGGGGAGACACCATCTAGCAAAACGTATAAGTGCCGCAAGTGTAACGCAACAGACCACAACAGCGCAACATGCACCAAACACATTACAAGCGAGGAGCACACAGTACCGGCCATCCCCTCGGGCTCATCGTACACTGGCTTCCAACGAGGAGTAGTGTTCAACCCGGTCAATGTTGTAGATATTATGCACGCAGACAACGCAGATGAACAAGTAGACAAGTTGGATACAATAGTAGAACTGTAATGAAGGCGAAGAAATCCAATAATCAAGCAGCACAACAACAATACATTTAACGCGCATCGAACTGGATTCAACACATTCAGGCATAAATGGCATTCGCGAAGGATCAACAGATACCGGTACGGTACCGCTTGCTCTGTGCACCTACCTTGCGTCGTGTTTTCGCGTGCATGGTGGGATTGAAGTTGCTGGGAATTGAACCCAGACCTCCTGCAAGCAGGCGCACTTCCATTGTGTCACAACATCGACTTCTTGAGTGTCGTCGCTCTGGCCTTCATGTTGCACAGCACAGTCTTACACAATCCACCAGATTCGCCAGCTAGAAAGTGGTTACGACACCATACATCACATACATACCAACACAACACGAGCAAACACATTCCAATTCTTACCATGGTGATATGATTCGTGGCGGGTCGGCGGTGCGCTGACTGCACAGCGAAGACAGAACTCGAGCACACCGTTAGGTTAACGTTATGGAAGGATGATCGCGCTCACCGATGTTCCAGCTTGTGCTTGGTCCATGCCTGCGTTCTGGCGGCGGCACGGTCTGGCATCGGCTGTCGAAATTCTGGAATGGCAATGGAAAAGACGAAATAGGTTTTTTCACCAAGTAGCTCAAGTATTTTTAGCCAATGAAAACTACTTGGACGATTTGGAATATAATTATTTCCACAAAGTACAACTAGGACGATCATGATAAATTTTGGCCTTGGTTGGACGGACGATCCTGGGAAATACCCTAACTGTAAAACAACAGGGAACTGTTTTAATGAGGTAATTATTTGGCGTCTGCATCTATGGAAGTGTAGCACCGTAGTACTACCATTAACGTAAAAAACAGTAGATTGCCCGATATTAGAGAATGGCCCGAATCACTTCGCATGACGAAAAATACTTAATTACCACATATTATTGGTACATATAAACTCTACTCGTAGTAAATACGCTTCATATTGACAAAATTAATGCAGCCTATCACAGACCACTTTATGCCTTATGCATGTCGAATGACGTCAGCAGTGATCATATCCCATGCAGCAATGGCACGCAACACCATGGCCATTCGCTTTTGACGAGCAGTTGGTGAGTACGGGTCTTCATCATCATCCCCTTCAAGCTGCTCTTTGTACAACCACAAGTTACGATCATTGCGTAGTCATGGCCACGAGGAAACGTTATGAACTCGATGGTTTCGATGCGCACCCCAGGTACTCCCTTCATGATCCATAGCAAGGGCAGCTTTTGACCGTCCGCTCGCGCCGTTGTCATGCGCATCGATTGCTTCTCCCCCGTTGAGATCTTGGCGCTGCAGCCCCCAGCGGCCCAAATGTACGTTGGAGGGAGGTTGTAGTACATCCCTGTCTCGTCGACGTTGAATACGCAGTCGTTCTCGTAGGATTGGTATTCCCGATGGAAATCGCGGGCGAACTTGTCGTGGACTTCAGTCAAGACCGCCTGCTTGAGCTTGTTCGCTGTCGAGAGAATCCATAGCGCTGGCAGATGCGACGCAGCAGTCTGAGGAGTGAGTTGTATGCGACGTCAGACTTCTTCGTTGAAAGGTACGACATCAACCACGATCTTGATCCAGGTGATCATGTAAGTCGTCGTTAGAGCACGTTCGTCATCTCTCATTTTGTTTATAGAACCTACTAAACCTGGTGGGTCTGGGAACTCTTCGTATCGTCCACCTGGTTCAATCTTCTTGTTCTTCTTGTTGCCATCGAAGGAAAGGAGTTTAAAACGCTGAGCGTACAATGATCGTACAGTTCGTCGTTGGACGCCCATTAGCTTCGCCATCTCTCGACCAGATAAGGTCTCTAGTAGGCCGATGGCTTCTAGCTTAGTTGAGATCGGATACGACGCGCGCCTCATATTTCGATGTGCACGTATTTTTTTGAAAGCCAAGTTTTTCCCGCTGGCGCGAAGAATAAAAATTCCACCAATAATATATCTGAATAAAATTCATCCAATGATACTCAATATTTCGAATATTGAGTATCATTGGATGAATTTTATTCTGATACTCAAAAATCTTCGGTGGGCGAATTGTCACATTTGCTTTTTGGCTCAATGTCCCACTTTTGACTTGATTAAAATATAAGCACGTCTCATCAGATGGATAATATAAGGCAAAGATGGATAATATAAGAGCGAAGTTCGAAGTATATTTCAGAAATAGCATGAGCCAATCAAAATCAATTTACCTCTTTTTTTTGACGATTTAGAAAAAGACATTAACAGGACCTCTTTTTCTATTTTTGGTATAGTGAGTTGCGTAAAAAATCACAGAAAAAGAGGTAAAAAAGTAGGAAACTGTATTTGGAACCACTTTTTCATTTGCTAAAACTATCTATACGTATGGGCGCAGTTCCGTGACAACTTGGTTCCGTGCCACGATGCATGATTGGTAGAAACAATCACTCGGACATTTTCAGCCAATCAATGCAATTTTTGACAGATAACTGGATAAAATCAAGTGGCACGGAACTGTTTTCAGCCTATCGATATTTCCACTCTTTTAATTCATTTTCCATCAACACTGATACGAATTTCGACATGATTTTAAGTTCTTCGAAATGCATTAATTCTCTTCTTTAAGAAACACTATTATAATAGCAATTTGAGTAAAGGAACCCCTCCATCGAAGGGTGTCACGGAACTGTGCCCATACGTATACATGGAACAGGCCCTACGGTGGAGTTTGCTCTTAAAATTACATCGCAACGAACGAACTGGTGTTGTCACCTCCACATATTTGTTCGCAAATACGCTGTTCGCGGTTGCGAGACGAGTGAACCCAGTACTTACTGTTAACGTGACGAAAGTTCCCCCATTCAAATTCATATTTGAGCTCACGATATGCAGCTCCATTCATTGAGTGGTCTAATTTCCCTTGAGAGTGAAATTCCACCGCCTATGCAAGCTGTAGGGTGCCCAGCTGCTGTCATTGTAAACACGAAGTCAATACAGGGAACGACACTGAGTAACGGCACGAGAATAAAATTTCAAATCAGCCAATAATAATCAGCGATATCGTTACCTCGACTATGATTGGCGGGATTTTTCCCGGCACAATTTAAACAACTTTCCACCCCACTACTTGATAACCTTGAATGTCAGTGCTATCTACAGCCACAGTGCTGCCAACGAAGCCTCGACACAAGATTTCAATACGGACATACCGGGATTCGTAGAGTGAGCATTGCGCGTCTGTTCAAGGGAGATACTGGGGGGGAGTTGTGTATTCTATGGCTTGTGGTTCCATTGACCCATACCGTATACTTTTTTTC